GCAAGTGACAAATTAGTTCTAACATTTCATGGAATTTATCAAGCAAGGAAATCTACGAAAGCTGAACATAGAATCCTTGAGTACTTTCAGCATAGATCACAGAGCTATAAAGAAGACCATTAACATTTATTCTATGGCAAATGTTTTTTATGTGGCACTTCCCAACTCCTCCCTTCCACTACGATAAGACACCCCATGTAATTCCTAGCCCTAAATCAGAAGGTAACATAAAACAGAGCAAACTGATGAAGGTTTACTTAATTTCCGTGGTGAGCAAAAATGCCATTCAACGGATTTGTAAACAAAAAAGAATCCTTATTTATGGAGCGTTTTTGTCTCATCACGTTTCCGTCATTGAAATCTTTGAAGGATGCCTTAAAGGAGTACGAGAAGCAAGAAGTACACACACAAAGTTGTGCAAAATTCACATTCAGAAGGTCATAGAAGGCCTTATTTAAAGTTTGTGTCTGGAATCTAACGGACACTAATCCGTATATGGTTTAGTGACAAGAAGGTCGGTTCCGTTTGTTTCCAGTATATACTTCTGGATTATCCCTGAAATCCTCTTGTCCGGCGTTTGTGCTCGCAAAGTCAGTTTTTGGACAGTAATCCACTGAATATTAACTCACAGTCATCCTCTCAATTCTCTGCTTTATGATAAAGTTCTTGGACCAGGAAGTTAACGGAAATTGTATTGGACAGCATAACACTGTTCTTAAAATCTGGCACGGCTGTATTTTGCATTGTTGATTTTGTTTACGTATACTATGGCAAACATCTGAATAATCAAGATATGTTCAATATGTGTCACTGCCTCTTCACTTAGTGTAATTTGACTGATATGGGATTTTTTATTTGCAACTATTTTGGTGCAGGTAGTTATGAAAGGCTGCAGGAGTACATAATCGGTCAAGGTGGATCGGCATCCTTCTCTGTCACTGAAGATCGAGATCTGAAGTGTTTTTTCTTCGCTAAAGCGGATCAGGGAATTTCGAATGAAGTACAGTTCGCCATACCTAAATAAATATCTCTCTGGATGCATTTCACTTTCCCCTCCGTTGTCTAATACACGAAAATGACCAGCAAAATGTACCAGTGCATAACCCCCTTCTGCAATCAGTTTCATCCCTGTTTCCATCAATAAACCAACTTTGGATGTCGGTTTTACCACTCTTTACTAAAGTCTAGAAATTCCGCACCGTCCTACAGCATGTACGGAAAGTTTTAGATGATAGAACACCTATGCCAAGCGGCATATCATTATAGAAACCATCACTAAAAGAGGTGATTTGCGTCTTTAGTTTCAGCAGCTGTACCTACCCACATTCCAGATGAGGAAAGACTACAAAATCGGTAAGAGCAAGAGAACGAATAAAAGATCCTATTCAGAACCATCACAAATGTGATTTGAATGACTTATTTGTTTCTTAAATGAAACTACTTTGTTTTTGCAGCATTTTGAAGATGCGCCTATCTTCTAGACATGGACTGATGTCGCAGTAATTGATGGGCTCATTTTAAGTCAAAATTAAGGGAATAAGAATTCGTGACCTTTATTAATAAAAACTAACCAAAAAATGTATAGTTTCTTTTCACTGATGTTGTTATTATTAGCTGTTGATATGCTTCTGTTGAAGAGATGTAAACAAGCGTTTCGCTAATACCGATTTTGTTGGTAGTATATTTAAAATTCGGATTGTCTGCTAGATGCGTAACATTAGTTGAAATATCTTCGGTGCATCCATCGCAGTACTACCTAGACGTATCTCAATTGCGTAGCTACCTAGTACGCTGTTGTTTAAGGCATATATGAAAAGATATGTTCATTCATAAACCATAATTAATGGTCTTGAAAGTTGTAAAGATTAATTGCTATTCGCGAATAAACAAATATTTTCATATACTGCTAATATTCTTCATAAAATTTTACTGTTTCTATAAACCGTAAGGAAGAATGACGTCTATTCAATTCGAAGTGTCCATATCCATGGCATTACTCTTAAGTAGGCACTCACACTGACGGGTAACTGTTATTCGTGTTTATTTAACCTAGAAATTGTAGTCAGATAAAATTGCTAACATCCAGACCATATTTTTTACGAATGTTCGAGAAGCAGCTGAAAGTTAAGTTGCATCGGATCATTATCAAAGTATATTTCAACATAATCCCAGCGTGTCTAGAATATTCTACGGGGGAAGCTGTAGTTTTCACAGTGTAACATTCAGAGAAGTCTTGTTTGAATTTCTGAACAGGTTGTGATTGTATTACAAGATACCCTTATGATGGTGAAGATTCGAATGCGTAATATATGACAATCATTATAACTCATTCCATTCAGTGGATTAAGCATGGATGAAATTTGTTCACAGCCTGTGTGGAACAAATGACACTGCGAAATAATGTGACACATATGAATGAAGCATAATGCGCACATAGCAACTGCATTTCTGAATACAGATATCAGCAATACAGATTGAAACATTGTGTCCCCTTAATGCGACATGGAGACTAAATAGCTATTCAAATAAGTCTTGATTTTTTCAAACTCTTGAACCCCCAGTAGGCAACATTCAATGATGTTAATGGCATAGAATTAGACCATTAGTCTACATAAATTAGTGACGGTAACACGCATGCCTAGTGTCTATTTCCTATACAGTGAGCTCACATGTTCGTATCCAGATACTTAAATGTATGGGGAAATGAATATTGACAAAAAAATTGGGGAAATGACTCCACCGATTCGGAGTAACTCTAAAGACTATCTCAGGACCAACTGAAATGATCAGTCAAACTTCTCTGTTTTACAATAATCTGGATTTTCAGAGGTGATTCTAATGGTAACCCCAAAAACTAGTGAAGTAACCAATAACAGGTCTGTAATTCATGAGAAAAGGATCCGCCTATTCGCCGTAAAGAAACCAGATTGGTTACTTCAGTTATTTCTAGGGTGGCCTTTAAAGTCACTTTCGAAATAAAGTTACCTAACTGGCTAGTTCATTCACAGCTAGGGTGACCTTTAAAATCACCCCCAGTTATTTGTCTTCAGCTTCGAAAAACCAACAATAACATTTTCCAGTGCACTTTTATTATCAGTCAAAAATATTCATAGCAGTCATGTAAAGTTTACGTATTATGTTACTTGAGTAAGTCTATACAAGCATGTTGTGAAGCTTAGGTACTGTCGTAACTGCAACCTGATGAAGTAACCACAATATTAGTGTCTATGTCTTGTAATATGTTTGATCAAACCTACTTTATGTAAATTGGCTCCATAATTTCATTCATAAATTTATGTAATAGTTGCTGATGCCTTTCAGTGGAATAAAACAAGAAACCACAGGTATAGACAAATAATTAAATTCTTTACTTATTAGAAGTATTCAAATACCTGCCTACTTTCCATCTATATAATTCTCCTCATAGTATATATATATATATATATATATATATATATATATTGTCAACTTTGATCAACTCAGGTGGTTGGCTGACTGATTCAAGAATATTTTACACACACCTTGTCAACGTCTGACTAGTCACAAAATCTCAGCTGAAATAGACTGAGACTCGAAAAATGTTAGATTTAGTCGATTTAAAAGTATCATCACTCCATTACATCTCTGACTGTTGACATTAGTCGTATGGGAAAATGTAGACTAAAACTGGTTGACTTCAGTCTAACAACCGGAATCGGCAACCAGAGAATTCATGCAATATGATTCAAATTCCAACTCAGTGGCCCACACACATCAATACATTATCTTAATCTTCATAGTGAATTTCATCATTGTCATATTCTTTCCTCTTCTCTTCAGATAACTTTCCGACACTTTCGATTACCTGCTTCCTTGTTTTCCTATCTTTCATCTTGGCTCCTTCTACCTTGATGTGTTGATGTGGAGCGTGGCAGCTCGAGCTGTTACACAATAATGCTAGGTTTTACGCTGGTAGTAACTGACTAGTAAAAAAACACAGAATTATACTTATCGCACTTCGAATGAAAGATTTACCAACACTAAGGAGAATGTACCAATATATTGGTAACTACTTTGAAACACGAATTCGAATTTATTCTTTCTACTATAAATATTTCAATTCAACAGTCATGTCATTACACAAATATTAGTCTATAAAACCATGGTTATTTCGGATAACCTTGACTGAAATGTAGTCAAGTACATTTTGGTTTATCACGTTGATCCTAAATGAAAATCCATATAAAAGATACTTCATAGTATCATTTGGTAACTACTATTTTCGACCTCTTAATTATCATCCTGCCATCGAAAAAGCAATCAATTCCCAGTTACATAAGTAACAGAGTTGTGACTCATTGGGAAAAGTTTTTAAATTTCGATCAGTGGGACCCCGGTTGAAAGCTAGCTGCATCAATTTCGACCTGTGCAGCTTGGAAGTCGTCAAACGATAGATGTGGCTTATAGGCCGGTACATAAACGCTTGTACAAAACTGAATTGTAGTTATTATTGTTATTAATAGTAGTAGTTCAGAAAGTTCCTCATTTTATAGTCTAAATGTGTGTTTCTTCGCATTACTTCACTCTACTGTATGGATATGAAGTACAGAAATTTGTGCCTATGAATAATTATCCCAAAGACCATACACATTGTTCACAACTGAACTAACTGCGAAAAATTGTTTGAATGAAGCGGATTCAAGCTTAGAAAAGTAGCTTGAGGAAAACAGCAAAAAGCCATCATCGCTACAAAATAGTTATATTAAAGTAGCTTTAAATCGTGAATTGATAACAGCTAGAGAACCACTGAAAATCAAAGTGTTTCACAACTGATACATGCCAATAATTTAAAGCTGCTCAACAATGTGAACCCACAACTCCATGTAGGGTCGATCGCTAAAACACCAACTACCTTTTAGCGCACGTTACTATTGAGCCAATTAGTTAGAAATTGACTCCTCACGTTAATGAGTTCCTAGAATTTCACTTAACCAGTCATCCCCACTCAATAAACTAGTTGTAATTCAAGCTATATTGTGTATAATAAACAAAAATATATTTCACTTATTATAACAATAATTTATGGATCAACATAAAAATAATTTATAAACACAATCGAAACCAAAGGTGTATCACTTAAACAATAAGAAATAAGGAAGAAGTGAAATAATCGCCAGCTATGAAAAAATAATCATGAGCAAATTAATCTGAACATCTTTGAACTGCCAGAAAATCAAGAAAATGCAAGATGAAATATTAAAAAAAATTGTTATGCGAAGAAAGGATATCAGAAGTAGCAGTGGGCATATCAAATGTAAAAAAAGGATAGAGCTTCCGATTGCTTCAGGAAAGCAAAGTAACAAAATAAGACATGTAGTCACAACATGTTCACTTTAAGGTAATAAATAGTTTACATTCGACTGTTCAATTTTTGATTATTTAAATTGACTGTAAAATGTCCTGATCCAGTTCTAAAGTTCTCCTCAAATTTATATCCATTCCTGATGAGATAATGTATAACTGCTGGTCTTAAAATCGGTGATGTTGATACAACGTCCGCTTCACAGCCTGCTGCACGACCAGTTATCACTGTGAAATACTTTGGTACACCTAATCCGAATTGATATCCTCCTGTAGTTTTCATCATCAGCATTTTATCTCTTAAATATGCTAAACGTTGCTGTAGAATGCTAAGTGCACAGGATTTATTCAACCCATGTAAATCAACGTAAGAAAATGCTAAACAGGCTGCATTAATCGGTCTTTCACCTTTGTTCAACAATTCTTCTTCAAACATAGATGATCTAGCATCGACCAAGTGTTCAGCTTTTTGAAGACTGAAGTAGTGCAATTGACTTTGCAATGATCGCAGCTAAGACGATAACATTGAGAGCAAGGAATAAGAGCATATAAATAAAAAATGAAACAAAGGATGACTAAATTCTATGGACTAGTGCAATTATAACGGTAACCTTGTAACAAGGTTGAAAACTAAGGAGTACACATAAAAAAAGCTTTTCAAAGTTTAAAAATGCATTAAAAAACAAGCCAACTATATAAAGTGCAACGTTTACAACCGAACGAAAACCTAGAAAAGGTAGCTACGACGTCATACTACGGAAATGATTGAACGAAGTTTCAATATAACAGCACATCATAGTTTAAACCATCTTAGTTTATATATATATATATATATATATATATATATATATATATTATTGTAAAGGTGTGAGGATCACCAATCTTAGCACTGGAATTTAGAGACGATGATGGGTTTCTGTCTTGTTTTAAAAGCGATTAGGTCGTATTGTTGACTCTCATAATGCATGGCTTATAGTCTAGTCCATAAACCTGAACCTAGTTAATAATTTGCACCATTTTTCTCCAAAAATGTAGTTCCATTTGGTTCTACTTTTCCTGAAACATTTAATGTCTATCGATTGTCCAATATTCCCCAAGGTAATGAATACCTTAAGGCGGGGTTGTCCATTTTTATGCATCAAGATCAACAGTTTAAGATAGTTGGAGGAAGTCACCAAGAAGTGGTTACTTTGGCTTCGATGAACGTTGTCACATACCTTCAGGGTATGTATTCAACCTTCAAAGGACAGATTGTCCCTGGCAAGCGTTAAAAGTACATCTTTCTGAAGAGTACTGTGAAGCATGAAACCTAAATTCAATGCCTTCTGCAGATTCTTGTCAACAATTTATTATGAAAAGCATTGCACTGAAACATTAATTTCTTTAAATCAATGACCACATTATAAACTTAGTTGACAGAATTCGATCTGCACTTGAGATTAGACAGCGTCATAATCAGTTACTGTTCAGTGATTGATCAGTCAAATATCATAATAATTGAGCTTCTGGTTCCAACTTATCATCGATATATTCGGTTTGATTATTGCTTGAAGTGAACTATACTTTAATCAGATGTAGACCTTGATGAGAATTTGATGAAGGAAAATACATCAGTATTCACTCAAATCTCCTGGTAGCTCCAATTTTCATAAATTTATTAAATATTTATCAGAGAAAGAAGATAATTTAGAATGAAATAAGTAACTCTGATTCAAGTGGTTACTATTTTTCTACTATATGCTGAACAAAACCTAACAACAAGACACATTATATATTCAGCAGGATGATGATCCAAAAGACTAATTACTACGGAATAAACACAGTAATTCAGGATTAAACATAACTCTGGTTTGAATTTCTGGATGACTAAAGCTTCATCCATAGATAAATGCCTTAATCCTACTCTATTGAAATTAAACATAAGTTGATCACCTTAATGATGATCATAATTAATGAAACAAATGTACAACAGGAATAATCTAAAACCATTTTTACAAAGGACTAGTATTACCTTGAAAAGTATGAAACATCATAGAGCATTGAATAGATATTTCATCTTAGTTTCAGACTTCTTGACAATGTTTCCTCGAACCTATCCAAAATTAAGCCGTAAGGCTTAGTAACTAAGAAAGACATCAGCATCCAGTCAGTAGGTTGGAATGCAACGACCTGCATTACCTAGCCCCGCTTGATTCACAATATGGTACGACTATCATCCTGTCATTCGTAGGCTTAAATTCTCAGTTTCAACTGAGTTGAGAATCTACTCCGCTGACAAATCCTAAGATAAGATGTAAGAGCCGTTTAATACCACCACTCGATTTTCAATGGTTCATCAGTTAGCATCAATCAGTATGCAATGAAAACTATCGCCAGACTAGTTATAACAGCGAAGTGGAATATGAATTCCTCGGCAACTGTACTTCAACTTATATAGAGTAGTAATTAATATGCACAAAATGCTCGAAACCAAGTAACACTTTTCACTTCCGAAAACTGTCATTTTACTTATCAACGTGAGTTACTTTATTGAGTTAGGGAGTAGAAATTTTATATTATCTTCCGCTAACCTTCATCCTCTTGTTGATGAATAATTCTTTAAATCAATTAGAAATACCCAGATCACCTATTTATTCACTAGGTATTATATCTATGTATTGTAACCGTCCTACAGGGAAGAATATCGCACTGTTCCTTCACACAAATCAAACTACTGTTCTTGCTATTGTTTAGTATAACATGGGAACGTATAGTCAGATTTATAGCTGAAGGAATATCACGAATTTTACATTACCTTCGACATAAGTAATGATACCAATGGATTGAGGATTTCATTTCAGAGTCATAGAATGGTTTTTATGATCTGGCAACATATAAGACGATTTCAGACTACTTTTTTGAAGGATTTATTAAACTGAGACAATCACGTCTTTTGCCAAATTAGGCTTTATATCAGTGAGGTATCTTGTCCATAGTAATTTTAGTGGTTCGGATCCTCGTATAACCAAAGCTGGTAGGACCTGCCAATGAACCAGTAAAAGCTACGGAGAATGGAAAACACAGACCAAAGTGGTCAACCGCTTCTCTAGCCTCTCTTACACGGAGAAAGTATACCGCTTGGATTTATATTTCATTTCCATTACAGTTCCTTGAAATGCGACTTTATATCGGTATACGTTATTCTCAGTAATGAATTGCGTACCAACTTAATCTCTTTGTTTATCCATGTTAGAACGGACCAACAAAGAGGATATCACCGAAAAATCTTGGAAAACTTGACTAGTCCACGTGAAAACTCTCTGTTAAAGCATGTACATTCAACACCTTCCCTTGACGCTTTACCGATAAGATTGGATTTCTATTGGATTGATACATACAAGGATTAATATATGTCTCGAAACTGAAATTTATCATTTGATACAATTCTCATTGTGCTTTGGGCGAAATGTAAAATGTGACCATAAATTCAACTCGCTAGGCGTAAACCAATCACCATCAACGGGAGAAATCTAAAACAAGTTGTCTCTTTCACCTAACTACCTAGGCAGCATCCTTTCAACTACAGGTGACGGCACAGGCACAGATGAGGATGTCAATGCCAAGATCGGAAAAACAGCCATATGGGCTTTCATTAATCTGAAATCAGTATGGAGATCTACTGCACTGCACTCAATATAAAGCGTGAACAAAATCCGATTTTTCAACGTTAATGTTAGTCAAGTCAGTGCTTCTATATGATGATAAATGAAATATATTTTGTAAAATCCCAAAGAAGTAGAAAAATAAATTTCTGACGTTTCGCGACTTCATGGAAATCGCTTCTTCAGAGAATAAAACCTGTACAAGTTATCGATAGTTTAAATAGTAAAAGGTGACGAATCAAATCACATTGTCTATACATGATGATAATATGAACGTGAATGTCATCGTTATGCTGGTCAAGAAGCGTTCACAATTTGTCTTTGTTTATCAGTTAATTAGTCTGGAGTGATATCAATATGTGTACATCTAACTGGGTGTGAAAGTGTAAGAAAAATAAATAAATAATATGGATGACAAGTTCGGTTTGCTGGTGTGTATATACTTTTGATCGGATCATTGTGTGTGATGTCCAGGTTGGTTGGATAGTTAGGCCTTCCTTTCTGCTGAGTGCATTAGGATTCAACATAATGTGAAATGCCTCTACTATTCTTCTTTCTTTGTAGTTTGAAAATCCCTTTTGAATAATTTTAATGTTTTCAACATCGATTTTATGACTGTGATAGATGGCGTGAACTGCGATCGCCGACTTGATTTGTAAGTTCTCTAGTTCTACGGGATTATTTGGCGGTCGTTTTGAGTAGCTTGCATGTTCTTTAGTCCTTTTGAGGATCTCACGGGATGATTCTCCAATATAACAGGCATCACAGTCGACACAGCCTAATTTGTAGACACAATTTTGTGTGGAGGTAAAAGGAACTTTATCTTTTACGTGGACTGGAGCATTCCTCAGAGTGTTGGTTGTCTTGTAAAAGGTCCTAATTCGGTGCTTTCTTAAGATTCTTTGTAGCTCTTTGGTTGTACCTTGTCGGAATGGTAGAACTATTGTATCAATCCAAGAATCATCATTTGAATTTTCTCTTGGTCCACTGTTCATGTTTCTGGATCTTTCGAATGACATTACTAGAGTAGTTGTTGGAATACAATACATCTGATATATTACTTACTTCCATTTGCCTGTCATCTTCATTTATGATGAGCTTTGTGGCTCTCCTGAATAAGTTCCAACCAAGTGAAAGTTTAGCACTGAGTGGATGTGCTGAGTTAAAATCAAGATATTGATTTGAATGTGTTGGTTTACGATAAATCGATAAACTTAGACTTCCGTTTCTATTCCTTTTAACTAAACAGTCTAGAGATGGTAGTTCACTATTTGGATTTTCATGTTCACATGTGAACTTCATATGTGGAGAATAAGTATTAATTAATTTCGAAAACGTTCTGAGGCCAGATCTTTTTTAAAATTACGAAAGTATCATCTACGTATCTGAGCCAAATACGTGGTTTGATGGTGTTCGAAAAGATGATTGATTCAATGTTGGACATGAAAAGGGTTGCAAAGATAGGGGACACCGGAGAACCCATAGCTACTACATTAGTTTGCTTGTATACTTTTCCTCTAAATGTGAAAAGTGTCGACTTTAAACAAAAGTTGGGTGCTTTCATGACGAGGCTGGGGTTCAACGGAGATGTCTGCCAACGTATGATCACATTCCAGCAATTCACTTATGAACTCTAAACATTTTTCAATGGGAATACCAGTATAAAGTGAAACAAATTTATTTTTCTGCTTCATTGGGACTTTACAAAATATATTTTATTTATCATCCAATTACCCAATGCTCAACTTATTCAACTTTATCAGGTCAAATTTTGATCCTGAAGTTTACAAAATTCTATGTGATGGTTGAGAGACTTGGTGCGTTACGAAAAGCATTTCCAACAAACTACAGACATACATGATGAACAGCTGTCGCCTACGCCCACTCGATACTGAAGATCAGATCGATGGTCAGAAAGAATAAGCAACAAGGAACTCTGGCTGGCCCTACAACGAACCAACGAAGCAACAACCTATCACCCAACAAATATGCATAGGAAGAAAGTGGATATGGATTGGATTGGACATAAACTGAGAAAATCATTCGGGGACATCACGTGTCAGGCCAGGTCCTCGAGTGGAACGCAAGTGGTAAACGACGAGTTGGGTGTACGAGGGTGGCATGGAGGAGATGGCATGAGAAAGAAATGAAAGCTTGTGGGTAGTTGTGGATCCAAGTTCAAAAGATTGCAGAGATTTACAGAGTGCAGTGGAGACGTGTTGCTGAAACCCTATGTTCCGCTGGGAACCCAAACGACAAATAAATAATAATAAAAGTGCAAACCAATAATCAAAAGAGTGAAGAGGACTTTCATGATGGTGTTCTGAAAAAGCGATAAATTGCTCACATGCTACTTTTATAACTGTAAAAAATTTAAAATGATCTTACTCTCATGATATGCTGAAAAGACAGTAAACAGTCAGTAAACGAACATGTTTATACATTATAATATAAAAAAGAAGCTAAACAAAACTTACTTCAGTGACTCGAAATTGTTTTATTCGACTGTCTTTGGCATATGAAAGGTTAGTTTTCACATTCGATATCTTCTTTCTTATACTATCTATCTTCTCGTCAAGCATATTTAACCACTCACTATTATTGATGTTGTTGTTACTAATACTTAGACTATTGCTTAAAAGGTAATCTTGACCATACGACAATGGAGAAGCGTTTATATCTGCATCGACATTTTCAACAAATTTATCAGAATTCTCAACAAGAAATGGATTTAATGGCTGAGGTATGAAGCCTTTCTTGATGAGATAATCTAAAAGGTTCTGTTCGCTTAAACTGAATAGATAAAAAGAGAGAAAAAGAAGAAAAGTGAAAACGAAATTAGTTCTAGAGAGAAATCGGCAACAGCAAGACTCAAGAGTAATTTTTAAAAAAATGGTCACTCGTGAGAATGAAGTAATGGGTAAGGCCCAATTTATACAAAAACTGAACATTTGCATTCTGTTGAGTTTTAAAAATTTACTATCTAGAGAGATAAGACGTGATCTGTATTCCCTATATCCCCACCAAATGAACAGTATTAAGAAATAGATGATCGGTTTGCAAATTATTCACAAATTGAACGAGCCGTACGGTTAAGTCTAACATTCAAGTTGTTTTTCAGCTATACACTTTTGGCATCAACAAGGCTTCTAATAGAAACCATCCATCACAGATAGTCACGCATATAACAAACATATTAGGAACGAATAAAATTTGACAATAATAAACACATTAGTTATCCGTCTTACAGTGAAGCAATCAATTCAAGTCATTTCGCCAGATTCAGCTAATCTCAACACTTCAGTTTTTTGAGTTAAATCTGATCAGGTAAATCACTGATAAGCTGAGTCTCAAACCAGAGAAACCCCAAAATGATGTTCGGATCAATCGAGTAATCTCTAGGTTAGCGTGAACAGTTTCTAATTACTCATATAAGTCAGTAGTATTTTTAGTATTCCGAAACACTTTCTTCATTTAGTGCCTAGCTAATCAGTAATGAACTTTCAACAGAAGTCCAAGCTAATTCATAATTAACTAACATTTCATAAGTAAACAACACCTTTAATTTCAGATAAAATCATGCTATAGTGTAAACGGTCCAGACAATTTGCGTCTTCTTATTGTTTTATCGAAGTTTACAAGGGGAACTAATTGTTTTATAATATAAATGTTAGTACAAACAATTTACTTCTATAGTCAAAGGAAGAAACCACGACTACTCCTGAGGCCATCTCCGGGGTGCTGCAAGAACAGCATTAAAAGCCTGTAAATGACGCTTAGAACAAGGTTAGGAAAGGATAATAAGTCTCAGCAACTTTTTCAGAATTATTGAACGCGCGTCTATGCAATCCCTTAGTCTTCGAGGACAATGAGCAGAAGAATCAACTCAAATGCAGACTAACATAGAGTCTTCACAATAATTGTGAGCAATGGTGGGTAGCGGAGCCTATAAAAAATGGAAAAAGCATCGGCTACAGATAACTCCAAGGATAATAAACAGTTACCTAGAGTTATCAAGGAAACTATGGTTAGAGAAATTATAGCGAGGACTGGGTATTCGAACACTTGTGGGCATGTCACACAGCCTATCGAGAGGTATCGAGTTAGCTGTACACATTGAACGGTATCCACTAAGGATGTCCAGTTACTCCATTCTTATTTCTTTTTGTTGTAGACATGACTGTGAAGGCTTACTTGCTGATGATTAGGCTAACCTCGTCAACCACTTCAGTAACTCGAAAAGTCGAACCCGATTGAGTTTTGTCAACTTATGCCATCTTTGACTCCAGTGTAATATCTGATTACCTATTACAAGCCGCGTGTAGTGCTCAGCAGTTAGCATTGTCCTTCTACTATGTGGCTGTGAAACATGGCCATTTATGGAATATGACGTAGGAGTACTTCAGGTGTCCAACCACCACTACCTTCGTAGCATAAGCCATGTATCATCGTACTACCGAGTCAGTAACATACAAGTCAGAGAAAGAGTTTTGGGTAGAAGAGGTAAGTCTGCTGATGAGGTTATTAACCTTGATCAACTCAGGTGGTTGGCTGACTGATTCAAGAATATTTTACACACACCTTGTCAACGTCTGACTAGTCACAAAATCTCAGCTGAAGTAGACTGAGACTCGAAAAATGTTAGATTTAGTCGATTTAAAAAGTATCATCACTCCATTACATCTCCGACTGTTGACATTAGTCGTGTGGGAAAATGTAGACTAAAACTGGTTGACTTCAGTCTAACAACCAGAATCGGCAACCAGAGAATTCATGCAATATGACTCAAATTCCAACTCAGTGACCCACACACATCAATACATTATCTTAATCTTCATAGTGAATTTCATCATTGTCATATTCTTTCCTCTTCTCTTCAGATAACTTTCCAACACTTTCGATTACCTGCTTCCTTGTTTTCCTATCTTTCATCTTGGCTCCTTCTACCTTGATGTGTTGATGTGGAGCGTGGCAGCTCAAGTTGTTACACAATAATGCTAGGTTTTACGCTGGTAGTAACTGACTAGGAATAACTCTGTTGTATGACTGTGGAAATGAGAGATGCGACTTTACCTTTCGAGGTGTATTTAATTTTTCAAGTATTTCAGATATGCTTCAGGTAAAACTGGTAACAAACACAAAACAAGGTATTGACATCTAACTCTAAATATCTTATACTTATTACAGTCTTACTTTGTTCACGATAATGAAATCTTGTGATGTTCGTACACGAAGCACCTCTTGATGAAAATAAATGTGAACAACGTGGAACAGAACTGCGATGGTAGTTTAACTATTTTGTGGAATCACATCATATTTCTTACTCAACTGATTTCAATCAGAACGCAGGAAGGGAATAATGGACTAACTACCAACTGGAAACCCAACCTTATACCTTAGAAGTGTGATTCCTCCAATTCAAACACAAACATCTTACGATATTTTCATCGAAATAGTACAGTTAGAAAACTCTGTGCTAAGGGAATGGCGGCGGAGATATAAATATAGGCACACACTGCTACGGGCTATAGAGAACAAAGAAACACATCAAAAAAATACGTTGCCATTGTTTTTAGTTTTGTCATAGTGTACGACTCAATGAACAAATAGGTGCTGCTTAGTGGAAGGCAATCTAAATAGCGTGCTTAAAAGCTTTGTAGTCAACATGTGTTCTACATTGATTTCAGAACCTTCTCCGGCACAACGTTTCTACATTCTTTTCTAATCATAACGAAGTATACCGTGAGTTATTACGAACAATAGAACACATTCCTGAATACTCTGGAATACTGTGGTCATCTGTAGCTACATTGACAAATGTTAATTGGTATACATTAGACTGAACTTGAAAGAATGTTTTCAGAAATGGCACCTTCCTCTTACTTTTCAGGCTGCATAGTCAAGCTGTTAGTTCAATTTACACAAGAAAAACAGAACATTAGACAAATCTAATTTCAGCCTAAAATTAAAAACACAACTATTTCAAGCTCTTTCCAACCATATAACTGTAAAACATAACTTTTAACAGTGGAGGAATAACGAAACTAACATATATCCGATCACTGTTGCGAGAATAGAATCTCTCGCACTTAGTGGAATAACCATGTAGTAACTACGTACGAGTAAATTATTGCGTAAAAGGAGGTAACTTAGTAGATAAAGTTATGAACCTTCATCAACTGAGATGGCTTAGATATGTATTTACATGTTCTGAACTGCCTTCTATCCAAATGCCCAATATCAATAAGAATAGAATTAAGTTGGAAAGAAGCTAAAAATGGCCAGAACGAAGTGTAATATCAATCCATCAAGTTACTGACTTTTTATATGAACTGTATGTGGAAGTTCATGGTTTGTTGTTGAGGTTCATCGGGTAGCCAAAATCGACAGGTGCGTAGAGTCATTTGCGAATATATCTATGCTCTACATACACTTAAATTTTAAAACCCTATTTTTCACCGTCTTACCAGGTCTTTGACGCTATAAAAATCTCTGTCTACAAGTGCTTCTATGATTTTGGTCAAATTTATGCATAATATCACTATCAGGGTTTATACTGTTGCTTACTTACACAAATATACAGACAACCATGAACAAATGACTGTTGAAAGTGATATAAGGTGCAAGTTGTTCATCATCATAAATATGATATCTACTTGAACTTTTATAACTGACTAATTGAATCGTACTTCCATAATATACATACTACAATGCAATAGGATATCTTCTACAGTAATTCAGAGACCATATGCAGTTTCTCAATGTTATGATGCTACTAGGCTGCTTGGATTTTGATGGGTTGAGGTAGATTTAAACCAGTAAACTGATGATTGATAGGCCAATGTTTAGACTGATTAAACACTGTTCCAATATCTTCCAGGCAAAAATTTTAAATGTTGAAGATTTTTATCATTAGTATTTCGAATAGTTGTATTTTTCGAATGCCATCTTTAGAAGTAGTATTCATCATGGACTGACATCAGTTGGGGAATCATTGAAAATCTGGGAGCACTGGACAGCCTTTTCGTCCTAGTATGGGACTCCTCAGCAGTACGCACCCACAACTCGGCTAGGGATCGAACTCAGGACCTGAAGGTGTAGTTAGGCTGACAAACAAGTTTTTTCAACACAATTGCCTATCAAGATAATGAAAAAGGCTATATGAATGCATCTTCATTAACGCGTATATAAACCGACATGAAGAGTGAAATCAGTTTCCAAGTCTACATCTTACAGTAGTGATTTCGATAGAAAGAAGAGTTGTAAGCTCCTGTGATCTTTTTGGAATTTATGACAATACGAATTTATATAAACAACAGAGGTAAGTATAAGTGTAAAGTAGAATGGAATGCATCTAATATAAATAAAGAGCAATTTTTCGTTAAAATCATAGACTTCGCCAACCAATCACCTGATTCTTACCTCTGTTATACTCTACTAGTAGCTACTGACTTAGGCACTTTAACATTAATGACCACAAAGAAACAGTTAATGGTATAAATTATAATTTAAAAGACGCAAAGATCAGTAACTCCCTCGAAGATGGCATATACCATCCTGATTGGTTTCAACAAGAGGAAAACTTACTCCGGACAAGTCATAACTTCATACTTTTGAAATAAAAAGGGGAAAGCACTTTTCACGTTTAACGGTAGATCCAACTCAAACTTACTCAAAACGAATAAAAAGATTCTCCAGATAACTTATCTCGATCCCAGGAAACTGTGCTTTTAAACGACTTAACGAAAGCTGATTTGCCAATGTTTGAAGACGCTGAAGTTTATATGGGAGAGAAGATAGAAAAGTGGGATTGGTCAAAAAATGGAACAATGATAGTAATGGTGAAAGTAACTGCTGTAGACTTCCTCACATTTACAAAATAAACTACATAAGATGTGGGTATATCAGTACACCTGCTCCTATGTAATCAGGTATATTGGTTGTTTGATGAGAACTTTATCCTAAAGGGTTCCGGAACACTGCCCTATGTGGTCAAAAAGAGATAAAAGTGAATCGACAAAAAATTGCTATAACTGAGTGCACACTGGGTCTAGAACGGCCTCATTCAAAAACAACAATTAAGTACAAAGAAACGTTCCCAAAGGTCATATGTCTTCATATTATTTGCATTTTCAAAGCTGTTTCCATAAATATGGAGCATCATGAGTTATTTATGAAAAAGAGACTCATTCAGCCTACTTAAGTTTCATGGTCTTAATATTCAGTTTTTGAAGTTACGTGTTTCTTTCAGCTGGCTCACTTTTCACATAATTCCGATGTTTTCCCGTTTTGATGCTCTTTCTGATGAAAATTAAGATTACAGATATTTTGTTATGTCATTTAATGGAGTTGACTCGTTGGTCCAGGTACTAAATTTCCAACCATTGGAAAACCGCTTCACCTAGCAAAGTTTGGGAACCAATAGGCAGTATCACTAGCTTATCATCTTCTGCATGAACTTGCTTGCAGTTACTGAGTGCATTTCGACTTTTTATCATTACCATATACATCTTTTCCAAAATCATCAATCTTTGCTTCTGATAAAAAAGATTGATTCTTTCATGATGACAATAACGTTTTCAGCATCGACACTTGTAGGCTTCTTTATTTCGGGTGGAAGGGTACTTTCTTCAGAGAAAAACAAGACCTTTTGGTTCACTCTATTAGTTATTAAGGTGATGTTTAGAGTAACTGAAATATTTGTGTTTTTTCTTTCATGTCATGATACGTACTTCCCTCATGTCTGAAATTTTTTGATTAGCAATATATCCTCAACATATGGGAATAATAATCGAGATTGAAAAGAAACCCATCAGTTTATGCTTTATGACAACTGTCATATAAACATGTGAATTATAGCCGGTAGTAGATTGATCTGAAACGAAAATAAAGATCTTTTGAAAACTTAATTTCTATACTAACCTACACGACACAGAAATTCATGATACCACTTGAAAAAGCGTTCAGATAATTCATGCTACTGAACTTAAACTTATTGCATAACAAAATCCTGATGGTTATTATTGTCTAGCTTGCATTATGAAAGATGAACATAGGTCATCTAGGAGGATATTTAAAACAAATCGAAATGAAGCTATTAGAGCTGAACAGAAAGTCGAATGTAACCATGTCCTGACAAAATGTGTGACTACAAATGAATATAAAAGATAGTATCATTCTAGTCACTTATATCACCTTGATGAATCAAAATGCATACATCATGCATGCATATGCTATAGTGTTCAATAAAATTGCTAAAATCTATATAAGAAGCCCTAAATCGCTGAAGGTGTTTAAAACTAATCGTGTTGCACCGAATTTTCAAGTGTAAGCACGTGAATAAACGTGCCGGATTGGTTGAACAGACAAAAATCAATAGGATACATTGTTCTACAAAGACCGAGAAATAGTCAAGGTCATTGTTAATATATATAAACCCTTGTATTTTTTGTATCTTTTGACGTCGCAATATACCTTTTGTTATCTAACCACCTTTTCCATTTACCGAGGAACTGAGCGACCATCTAAGGTAACATCTGAAGATTATTGCTCAAGCGTCCTTATATATATATATATATATATATATATATATATATATATATAGCTGAGGTTATATCAAGTGACGACAAGGATAAAACAGTATACAAACTTGCAGGCACGTTAGTTTGTCTGAATAGTACTGATGAACTTACATACAGTCACATTAAATTAGGCTATAGAAACTTTACAAAACTGGTAATTGAAAATTCTATTGGATCTACAATTATTTTATCTCGAATAACGTAAGAAATAAAGTGTTATAAGAAATTAATAGCATTTGCGCCGTCGGTGGGCCTCGAGGTAAGACGAAACAGCTGTCCAATTGTTTTTCACCCCATAATTTTTCTGTAAAAAGGTATAGTTCATAAAAATTATTTTAACTCCTTTATTCAAATTAGATTTGTCTACAACACTATGAATCAAACTTGGTGCATGAGACTTTGGTACTACCTAGTTGTAGGTCTAGCGTGACACAAATGAGAAAGTCAGCTTACATGGGGTGAAATACTTAACTCTACAGTTGCGCCTAATACATTCATTGAGCAAACCTATCACGTCTCCTTTGGTTACAATATCTGTATCAATTTTAAAACACCAGTTGATTGAAAGTTCTTGTTCAATCCCATAATCAACAACAACTGCAAAGACAGTTACTTTACTTAAATCTACTACTTTTTACACTTCTGACTTCCAACCACATATCACAATTTCCAGTCTCAAATACCTGAAATATTTGGTTTTTGATACACATCTGATTATCATTTATTTTATTTATCGTTTGGGTTCCCAGCGGAACATAGGGTTTCAGCAACACGTCTCCACTGCACTCTGTAAATCTCTGCAATCTTTTGAACTTGGATCCACAACTACCCACAAGCTTTCATTTCTTTCTCATGCCATCTCCTCCATGCCACCCTCGTACACCCAACTCGTCGTTTACCACTTGCGTTCCACTCGAGGACCTGGCCTGACACGTGATGTCCCCGAATGATTTTCTCAGTTTATGTCCAATCCAATCCATATCCACTTTCTTCCTATGCATATTTGTTGGGTGATAGGTTGTTGCTTCGTTGGTTCGTTGTAGGGCCAGCCAGAGTTCCTTGTTGCTTATTCTTTCTGACCATCGATCTGATCTTCAGTATCGAGTGGGCGTAGGCGACAGCTGTTCATCATGTATGTCTGTAGTTTGTTGGAAATGCTTTTCGTAACGCACCAAGTCTCTCAACCATCACATAGAAGCACTGACTTGACTAACATTAGTGTTGATAATCCGTATCTTGTTTACGCTTTATACTGAGTGCAGTGCAGTGGATCTCCATACTGATTTCAGATTAATGAAAGCCCATATGGCTGTTTTTCCGATCCTGGCTTTGACATCCTCATCTGTGCCTGTGCCGTCACCTGTAGTTGAAACGGTGCTGTCTAAGTAGTTAGGTGAAAGAGACAACTTGTTTTAGATTTCTCCTGTTGATGGTGGTTGTTGTTGTTGGTTGGGTATCTTCATCACCTCTGTCTTCTCTACGTTCACCTGAGGTCTCGACACATCTGATAAGGTATTTAAATAAAATCCTATAAGGCAAGTATGGTGCAGTAGTAATTTGGTTTAGGGAAACAACATTCAACAAGATGAACAGGGTCTTGAATCTCGCTTCGTCTACATAGTCTTAGAAAGCCAGGTATTATCATTAACTCTACTACAATAAGTACGTATGATTATTGAGTCTCGATTTTTCTAAGTTAATAACAATAACAATAGCCAAATCATATTTTATATGCGACTGAGCTTTCTAGAATTTCGCAGATTTTCAGAATATAGGCTACCGTATTAACACGGCTTTTTGAACAGCTGCTTTAATAAAACCTCATGCACTACAATTTCATATTAGTAAAAAGGCTATGATTGATTGGTTCGGGCATTTAACCTCTAATTAAATGGAATACAAGTTTGGGAACCATTTAGTCCGTCACTTTCGAGTAGCTAGTTATCATTACTGGCCTTCAAACAAAAGATATTTATTACAACCTAGTACAAAAACCTGTACATACTTGCTGAGTCGCAATAATAGAAATTAATTTGATACTGTATGATTATTGAAGATGAAATGAAAATCTGGCAAGCGGTAGGATTCGAACCAGAGGCCCCTGGGTTACCAACTCAGTCCTCTACCAACTGGGCTGCGAGACCTAACTTCTGATAATATTTTTATTTCCCTTCAATCACCCGATAGCAATTCACTTGGGAATTATAACTAAAAGAATTACCTTCAAATATCGTATCGGGAAGATAAATACATAATCAATTGTAAATCAGTCAATTCAGACTTTCTGCACGGATATCACGTTGATACAGTCTGTTATACTTAAAAAGATATAACATAGGATCATGTTTCAAAGTTTTGGATTTATCTTGATATGGCTATGGACAATAAATTGTGTCCAAAATGTAATGCGGTAAATAACACTATTCCACTGTGTGGCATATCTAATAAACCAATCAAAATGGAAAAAAGGATCTGATCTATACAAACTAAATCAACAAAACTGGGGAAAACCATCCGGAAGAAAGACAAAGGAATGAAAAATGGTGATACTACTAGGAGTGACCAGCATGCCCCGACGAGGAAGACTGACTAAAGGTCAAGCTGGCTTACTGAAAACACATCCCTAATGATATGTAAATAGAAGAGGTTTTTAAGTAAATAAGCTTTCGATACTCAGTGAGTACTTAAAACGCATGAACTAGTGATAGCCAATAATATGAGAACATACTGTCACATAATACAGTTTTTCAGTTGGAAATGAGAACTGAAATACCTTACTCATTGACTCAGAAAGTAATATTCTTGGTTTGTTCCCACCTAGTCCGAAATACTGTTTTCTAAGCTCCAACGAACCTGTTTACATATCAGTAGTGTGTGGAAGTACAACACCCTGACCACAGTAGGAGACACTGATGGTAAAGATAATCCATCCATAAGACTTGAAGTACACTTAAGGCTGGATCGAATGTGCATTACACTACACACATGCAACCAAGCTATTCGTTTGTTATAACCTTGTTGTCTTAGTATAGAACGCTAGTGAAATCGATAGCTCAGTTGACTCCTCATGCCCTCAATATTTCTAGTCAGTTGAGCTATAAACAAGTAAAAAACAGAAGACGTAGCTCAAAACTTAGCTTCCTCACCAGCTCTACATACATGAGCTAAAGCTGCATTTACACTATCCTGATA